AGAGTGGACGGAGGCGGCATCGGAGGTGGGGACCGGTGCGGTGGACGGCGCTGCCGGGGTTGCCGGCGCATCCGGGGTCCCGTCGTGGGGGCTATCGGACGCCATGGGGGGCGATTGTGCGAGACGGCGGACGCAGAGACGCGGGAGTAAGCTCGACCACGGGCGATGCGATCGTCCATGCAATGGGATATGCAGACGATATGAGACGAGACGAGTGGATGCGCTGCGCGACGTGGGGCGCTGCACATGGAAAAACGAACAAGGGGACCGGACGTGTGAATAGAAACGACAAAAAGACGAAAAAACGGCGATCGTCAACTGGAAGAGGATGGCGCGAAGGATGACGGGCGGAGCACGCGGACAGGAGAAAGCACAGACGACTCCCTGCAGCCTTTTCAATGCAACGCTCGCTGAAGAAATGCAGGTCAGCCGAATAGGCCTAACCTGGCCAGAAACGGGCAAAAGCCATGCGTGAGCCAGTGGCCGGCCACAAAAGGGTCCAAGTGCGCTCTCTGTGCGGGCTCTTCCTGCTTTGGGTTTAGCTGCGCCGGCGCTGATACAAAAGGTGCAAAAGACGCAAAAGACGCTACTGCAGAAAGGGTGAGACGGTACGGTGATCCGAAACGGGCACGATCTAGCGTCGGGGGTGGCCGTCAACGTTGCCGGTGGACCTGTGCTGTCTACATTGGTATGTGGCATGGGTATTGTATGGTCGGGTTCGTATTATGCATAATCTACAGGGACAACTCGTTCTGTCCACCCTCACTGACGTCATGCCGTGTGGCGTTGGCTGTCCTCCACCCACCTGGCCACCGCCGCCCGCACTGCTGCTTCGGCGTTCTGCGGGTCGGTCCGGCCTTCGGGCCCCAGCCGCAGCAGCTTGCCCACCAGATACTGCAGCTTGCCGTGCGGGTACTTCTTCTGGGCCGCCGGGGATGCAAACTGCTTGAGCGTCTTTGCCTCGTCGGCAATGGCCTCTTGCGCGAGCGCGGCGTACTCGTCTGCGGAGATCTCGTCGAACCAGAGACGCTCGGCCGCAATGGCGTCGGTCACCGACGGCCCTCCGTCCGTGTCTGTGACGTCCCCCCGGAACACGGCAAAAAGCAGCTCCTTGGCCACGCCGGCCGTGATGCGGCCCTGGTAGCGGTAGGCCAGGATGTCGGCCAGACACGCCACGGGGATGCGGCAGCGGCCTTCGGGGGTCATGTCGAGCGAGGTGGTGGTGGTTGCGGTGGCGGTGGTGCTGGCGGCAGCGTCGTCGCCGATGTTGACGCTGGCGTGGCGGTCCGACGTCAGCCGCCCCAGCTGGTGCAGCACCCAGTTGGCCACAAACGCGCGGACCTCCACCCCAGGGGCGGCCCCTGTCGCCGCCGCCAGCCGCTGCTCCACCGCCTCCACCACGTCGTAATAGTACTGCGCCCGCCCGCCACCGTCCAGCGCCATCAGCGCCGCCACGTCCGTCGGTGACAGCCCAAAGTTGTCGATCAAGTCGTCCATTTCTGCGTCCGGTGACGCGCCCAGCGTCAGCTGCAGAAACCGGACCAGGGCCTCGTCAATCACCACGGGGCCCAAGTCGGGGTCCGGCATGTAGCGGTAGTCCACCTCGCCCTCTTTGCCGCGCAGCCGGTGCGTCTTGCCCTCGTCGCCGGCAAACGCCGGCGGGGTCCAGCCGCGTGTTTCGCTGACAATGGCGTCGCGGGGGGACACGTGGCCCGCGGCTTCGGCCGCCATGATGGCTGCGATTTGGCGGTTGCGCTCGGCAATGATGGCGTCCTCGACCGCGCGGAAGCTGTTGAGGTTCTTGATCTCGGTGCGGACCCCGAGACGTTCTGTGTCTGCCTTGTCCTCGCCGCGCTCGCTGTCGCCGCCGGCGACCCTTCGGACCGACACATTCACATCCGCCCGCAGCCCGCCCGCCTCCAGCCCCGACGTGCACGCATCCACCGCCACCAGCAGCTGCTGCACCTTGCGCACAAACGCCGCTGCCGTCGCCGGGTGGTGCAGCTGCGGCGCCGTGATAATCTCCACCAGCGGCATGCCCACCCGGTTGTAGTCGAGCCAGTGCACGCCGCCGGGCTGCGCCACCGTCTTGGCCGTGTCCTGCTCCATCTGCACCTGCACAATCGCCACCCGCACGTGGTCGCCGTCCTCGGCCGCGATCCCGTCGCGGTCCCCGTACAGGTCGACGTGCCCGTCGCGCGCCAGCGGCTCGTAGTACTGCGTCAGCTGGTACCCGGCCGGCTGGTCCCAGTGGAAGTAGTGCTTGCGGTCGAACCGGCTGACCGGCTGGATGGTGCACCCGAGCGCGAGCGCCGCGCGGATCGCCGGGATCAGCGTCGCCGGCTGGAAGATGGGCTGGGCGCCCGGCAGCGCCACGTCAAAGAAGGCCACGTGCGCCGGCGCGTTCGGCTCGCTCTCCGACAGCGGGCTCGTGGCCTGCGCGCTCGAAAACAGCTTGTGCGCCGTGTTCAGCTGCGCGTGGATCTCGATGCCCACCGTCAGCTCCCAGCCGGGCACCGTCTGGCCGCGGTGGGCCAACCCGCTGCCGGCGGCAGATCCCTTTTGCTGCGCAGCCTTGGCCTTGCGCGCCTTGGTTTCGTCTTTGATCTGTTTTCGGAGTGAGACAGGGAGGGCTCTTGTCGGCGGCGTTGTTGTGGTTGGCGAGGTCGTCGACGTCGACGAGAATCGATCGTGTCGAAAGGCAAGCAATGGACGACATTGTGGGCAGCCACCGGCCCAGAGAAGTGTGCGCCGGGCACTCCGACCCCGAAAGAGGCACCGCCCTAGTGGTCGTGCCGGCAGTCCAGCCATTGAGCCGTGTGTGGTGGTGGACGGGTGTGTGTGGTTGACTCTGGCAACGCCCCAAAAAGTTCTGTGGGGAAGCTCAGAGAGCTACATCCCGTCTTTGAGGATTCGTGGTGGACCCACTTTGCTTACATAATATCACCAACGTCGGTCTTGCCAACGTCAACCTTCATCATGCCCGTTTTCTATTTCTGGGTTTGACATACATGTCCCGATCAGGTGTTCATAGTGGAGCGGAATATTGGCTTGGACGACTGACTCGCGTAGTGCAGGACGTGCCTTGGCAGGCCTGCCATATCCATCCCGCGCCAAAGTCGTTGCATTTTGCCGTCTCCGATTTTCCCGCCAGTTCGTGTACATTATACCAGAATGGCTATTAAAATTAGAGCATATATGGAGACGGTCACCAGAATTGTATTACGGACTTCCGGGGCGTGTTGGGCATACAACGTTTATTTGAAAGAGGGAAGCACCAGACCGACCCCATCGACTTTGCTTAACCGACCAAACTGACTCGTCATGACGTCTCGCGGAAGAAGCACATGGAGAAGCTTCGTCCGATTACTCCATTGAATCTCCCCGTGTAGACTCGGCTATGCAGGGGAATGCATTCCTCCCTGATATGGGGTCTGCCCTCGCCACCACCGAGTTTAGCCAATGCAGGACCATGATGCAAGTGAGAGGCGCCGTCAATTTTGGTGATGCTGGCGTCGGTCTCGATCCTACCAAAAATTAAAAATAAAATGTAGAAGACAAAAAAAATCAATGGATTTGTCAAGTAGCAAATCAGCCATAAACCAGGCACCAGATTGGACGGCGTCTACCTCCTCGCTCTTTACACTCTAGCCCATTGTCCTGTCCCGGCCATTGGTCTGTATATGCTGTAAACGACGGTTTTGTCCCCCGGTTTCGGACAATTTGGGCATTCCCTGTGCATTCAAGTTTTGTTGTTTGTATCCTCGCTTGCAACAAACGATCAATATCCTTTAAAAGGTGGTCGAGGCTGCTCGGAGAGACCCCGCAAGTTGCACTCCTCAGTTAATTCCTTGACGGACAAAGTGGCAAAGCTACGTAAGAGGCAATATATGTACCCCGTCTCCGCTGACGACAAGCGGAATGATCAATCTATATGTCCAGAATGCAAATAGAACAAAACCTGTACAAAGGAGTGCTCATTTGCGGATTGACAAACCGTCTTTGGATGCCCCACGTCCAGTCTCGACTTCTATTTAAGGCGGGCAGCTGTCCAGATCTCGAGACTCGAACGCAACGCAAACAGCACCTCACAAAACCACATAAAACCACACGAACAACACAGCATCACACATCCGCTACAATGCAGCTTTCCCTGTTCTTCTCCGTCGTCGCCGGCGCTGTTGCCGTCTCGGCCGCGTGCGCCCCCGACCCGGCGCATCCTTTCCCGGCGTGTGCGGTAGGTCTTCGCGCTAGTATTCCAGTATTTCCCATTGGCACTGCCCGTGACACACTGGTGGTCATAACGCCACGACGCACGGCTGACACAGCGCTCTCCAACAGGCCGACTGCATGGCCACGGCCATTGCCGCCATCGGTTGCACCAGCGCGACCGACTACGAGTGCCAGTGCAAGAACTTTGACAAGCTGCACAGCTCGGCCGGCGACTGCATTACCAAGGCCTGCGGTGCAACGGCGGCTGATGTGGCCACCGCCGCCGAGGCCCTGTGCAAGTCGTGCGGTCCGCCGCCTGCTGCTGCGTCTCCGTAGGGCAGAAGTGGTTGGAAGGACAGTGAAAAAAAAAGGGTTGTCGCTGTTCGTGGACACTCAGCTTGATGTAACTCCATAGGAAACACTCGAAATACATAAACTATCGCCTCAAACTAATTCGTACACCTTTGTGCCGGCTACTGTTCCTCGTGTCTCGCTCGCTGTTTTCTGCCTCCGTTTCCCATTCCCAGTTCCTTTTCCTCTGCTTTAACCCACATCCCATATCGTACACTCTCTTACACTCGATCCATCCTTGGTTTATCGTCCCACGTACAACCCCTAAGCTACATAATAATTATTATAATGATACCATGAGGAATAATAAGACGAAAGAAGAAAAGCAAAACAAAGAAAAAAAAAAGTGGTTCTTAAAAATTAAAGGAGATAGGAAGAAAGCCGCCGTTGTATGTCAACTGTCCTTGGTCGAGACTGAGCCACTTGTTATCCTTGAATTACCGTCCAGTCGATGGAAGGACTGTCTCACCAGTGCTCATGCACTTGTGCGTTCGTGGGCGTGAAATGAACAGTCCGCACTGGCAGCACTGCTGCATACCACAGTTGCAGATACCAACGCTGCCACCACCACCGCATTCTCCTCCACCTCCGCCTTCTCCTCCAGACGTGGACTCGTAGTCGGCGACTTGCGTCTCCACAACACGGTGCCGGTGCCGCGACCGGATCGGGTCAGTCTCAGAAGTTGTGTACCACTCGTCCGACGACGACGATAAAAGGCGGCCCTTGGTGTTGGGCGTGTCGTCCGAGTAGTTTCTTTCGATCGAGTGGATGTGGTCCTGTAGAAACTGCTCGAGGCTGTTCTCTGGTCCGGATGATGCCACACACGTGTCTGTATACGGGCCTGTGTACGTTTCGGTATACGAATCTGTTGTCATGGACACCCCTGTGGTGGCTGAGGTGGCCATGGTGGCCGTGATGGCGGTAGCACGGTCGCCACCCACGTTGGCTGCGGCCAGTGTACAAACATGCTTGGGTGTGCGTGGAACAAACGGCATGCGCATCCGTGTTCGGATCCTGGCATGGGCCTCGGAACCCAGGGGGGACGTGCTGTACGACGATCCGCCGCCGTCGTATTCACGGTCGGAACCCACAGGTGTGACCGATACCGCGATGGGGATGGCACCAGTGGATGCACTACTCACAGGCTTGCGGCGGAGCGCCGCGGACTGTGACGGTAGTTGATGGGGCTGGTCATCATGGCGAACTCGATGACCGTCAACATGGCCACCATCTCCGTTATCATCGTCTGGATGCGGCTGGAGATGGGTTGTCTTTAGCGCCAATGGCTTGGGCTTGTTGGGGCGATGATTCGTAAACGAAGTGCTATGTCGAGTGGCCAGGCGAGGCAAAGGTGCTGGACCGGTAGGGTGGTCGACAAAGACGTTTGCATTTTCCTGGTTCTTGACCGGAGTCACAGGTTGAGCTGCCGCAAAGAACAGGTTGGGTGAGTACAGCTGTGGGGCCCTATCGTAGATGATGGATCGTGTTAGTGTACGATGGTTCCAAAGAAATGGTAAAGAAAGTCATTCAACAAGGACAAAACAAAATAAAAAAAGAAAGTAAACAACCGTGTAGATTTACCTGCATATAGGGCTGAGGTGAAAGGCCCTGGGTACCTCTGGGCTGCCGGGGAGGCCATGGCTAGACATGACTGGTATGGACTGCGAGCGCTGAAGCTGGTGGTGGCGCTGTTGGGTCCGCGGCTGCAGCTGGTAGAACGCCTGGTACTGTTGTTGCGTCGGCTGTTCCGGTGGCTGTTGTTGGACCGGCACACTCGAGTATGACTGGTACTGTGGCGGCGATGGCTGGTAGAAGCTGCCGCTGCTGCACGACGGATGGCGGCGGGTGGGACTCTAGCCACTCCCGGCAGGCGTCATTGGCGTCAGCGGCGTGATGGGCGACATGTGTGGCATGGACGGCATGTGTTGCAGCTGTGACATTTGCGACATGGGTGTCAGCGGTGTCCCATGCGGCATTGGCATGTTTGGCAAATTCGGCTGAAACGCGTAGAGTGCAGCTTGCTGCTGTTGCCGTTGTGGCATCTGCTGTGGCATCTGTTGATAGAGCGGTTGGTTCGGAGTCTGGTGTGCAGCAAGAGGCGGACATCCGCCACAAACACTACCACTGCCACCACCACCATCCCCTCCTCCACCTCCCTCCAAGGACACTAGCTGGTACGCCGAGATGGGCTGAGTGGTCCATCGAACAAGAGACGGATGACGCTGATGGAGATGGCGTTGCGAGGGCTGTTGCTGTTGTTGTTGCTGCTGTTGAGCTTGCATGTTGATACCATACTGCGAAGCATGGTTGAGGTCATTCACCCCGAAGCTCTGACTGTGGTCCATACTGGGAACGAAAACGTGCAACGTGCAGTAAGAAAAAAAAGAGATCGATTTACATATAAAGCACAAAGATGCAAAGACTCGTAAATAAAAACCCCGAGCGCGTTGCTATCACAGCTCTCTCGTAGAATGAAAGCTGAGAGATCAGAAAGAAGACGAAACTCACGTCAGGAAACGAAAGATGCAAAGAACAGGATATTGAATAAACGCCAGAAACACGCGAGATCGAAATCGCGCGCAAATAAGAACAGAGGACGGCCGGCTGTCCAAAGAGGTAGAAGAGAAGTCAGGGGTAAAAGGGGACAGGGGGAGAGCCTCACGATGGCCACACGCCGCAAAGGGCAAGACAAGCTACACCTAACCAGTGAACGAAAATTCTTCGGAACACCCTGCGACGCGGAATATTTTCGAAGGGGGAAGGCACTCTGTTTGGGCACGTTTATATCTCTTCTGTTAGCGGGGATGGTGTGTGGCCGATGAAATTGTATCTGTCAAAAGTGGAAGGAACGATGGACCTCTCTTGCACAGATGGGTGGCTTCGGGACGAAGGCACGTTTTGTGGTCAAAAGAGGAAAGAGCACCTGAGACGGCGCTGTGTGGTATTGTACTCACTTATGCTATGAAAAGAGACAGACGAAACGCCAAAAGGAAAAGAAACAGAAACAGAAAACGCCAAAATGCAACTCATGGTTTTCGTCCCAGCCGAGCCTCTATCGACCAGCCCAATCGACCACCCCTATCTCTACTTCTCTTCCCGTAGATCGGCCACGGCAAAGTCGATGCCTGGCACAACAAAGACGTGGCCCGGCGGGTTCTTCGCCTCCGTGTAAATCTCGTGCGGGCGCAAATCGTGCTCGTGGAAGGCGCCTGCTTTGCGGCAGCCGCCGATGTACGGCAAGCCCGGCGGGTTTGTGAGCCGGAAGATGCCCCAGCTGGGTTCGTGCGCGGGCGCGCAGACAATGGCGATGCTCTCGTCCATCATGATCTGGTAGCCGGCGTGGGTGTGCATGTCGAGTGAGCTCATGAAGCAGGTCTGCGTGGGGTGGGTGTGGATCCAGCCGATCTGGATGAGGTCGTGCTCGGAGCAGTACTCGAGGGTGGCGACCTCGCCGGTGGTCTCGCAGGAGTCGCGGGTGCCAATCTGCTGGGGGATGAGCAGACACGTAATGAACAGGGCGTTGTTGGCCGTTTTGCCGCACAGGATGCCGCAGGTCTCGATGCCCTTGTCGGTGTTGGGCTGGGCCACGCGCAGAAAGTCGCGGCGCAGCGTGTCGGGCAAGAAGACGCTGCGGATGGGCGCGCCGCTCTCGAGGTACGCGGCGGGCTTGAACGTGTACTGGGACTTCTTGCCCGGCTGGGCGGCTGCCTCCACAGAGTCAGGCTCCACGGTCTTGGGCGGCAGCCGTGGCGGCGGTGGCGGCGTCGACGCCGTCGAAGGAGGCTCGCTCGACTGGTGAAGCGAGACGAGGTCGTCATTGTAGCGGGACGACAAAGGCTCGCCGCGGGACGGGACTGGTGGTGGACGTGCTGCGGGCGCGAGGGACGCGGCTGCAGGCTGTTTTGGGGGCCGTGGTGGCCCGCTGGCCGACGCTGCGGCGGCGTCTCGTCTCTGGTCAAACCGCATTGAGTCGTACGACATGGGCGTCGACTTGTGTATGGACGGGTAGCTGTAGGACACAGGGACGACGGGGTCCTGTGGCTGTTGGTAGCTATGGCCAGCGTCGGCGGTATTGCTGTCGTCGTAGCTCGGCGGCGGTCGAGACATCTCGTCGAGCTGCCACCGGGCCCGCTCCATGGCCCGACTGATGTCCTCGGCGTCTCGCCGAGTGTCCTTCCCAGGCGTAGTTGATGCACGTGTCCTTGCACCACGGCTGCCACCTTCTTGGCCCCGCTTATTTGCCAGAGCAATCGCCAGCTCGACATGGTCCGCCGCATCCAGCAGCTCTGCCTGCGCGTACGGATTCCACGACAGCGCAGGGTCCAGCTCCGCAAATGTCGTCGTCTTCTTCCTCTCCTTTCCGACCTTGCTGTCTCTGCGGTCGAGCCGCCGCTCGTATTCGTCTTGCGGGTGCTGGTCCACCCACCGCTGTCGCGCCACGTCCAGCTGCTCCTTGGTCGACTCCAGCAGCGCCATCACTGTCTTGAGCCGCCGCGTCACCGTCCGCACCATGCGCCGGCCCTCGGGCGTGTTTGCCTCGGGGTGCGTCGGTACCTTGTCCACGCAGATGATGGTGAAGCGCATCAGTAGCACAAAGGCCTTGGCGTAGTTGTGCTCGGCCAGGTACGTCCGGCCTTCGCGGTACATGGCGTCGAGCGAGCCGATGTGGAACTTGAGCGGGATCTGTGGGCGCCACTCGAACATTTCGGCAGATCGGGCGAGGTCTTTGGAGGACAGGGGAGCGTAGGCGGAGGTCGAGGTCGAGGTCGACGAGGAGGAGGTCGACCGTCCCGGGCCAAACCCGGACCCAGACCCAGACGAGTAATGAGATCGCGGCATGGTCCTCGGTTAGCTGTGACAGGAATATGCGCTCTGAGGTGTAGATCGATCAATGTAGGTGTTGGTCGTGGTATCTGGCAACAATCACAGACCCAGACGCCTTCGTCGAAACTTAGGAGCGACACTCGAAAACAGGCTGCATCTTCGGATTGTTGTAGCTGCTGCGTGTGTCGGCCTGCGAGACAATGACGTGAGTGTACCGTAGACAGAAGTGTCTTGGCCGTGTTTGGGAACAGGCTGCCGCATTGGAACTGGCTGGAATTGGCTGGAACAGGTGGATCAGCCCGCATTTGCCCCTCGAAGGGTTCCCCCAGTCCAGTCACGTGGAGGCCGTTGGATTGGTTGCAGTACCTGAATGGACCAACATCGAGGCCTAAACGGGTCGGTCTACGGGTCGTAATGCGCTAAAAGGGTATCAGTATTCACCACATGTCCGACATTGCTGAGTAGTAGGGTTCTGGATGCAGCAGTGGTATGATATTTGTATCTTTTTTTTTCTGAAAAAATTAATGTGGTTATTTTAAATATTTTCTGATTTATTCCATATGTTAAATTTTATTGCGAGAATGACACCTCGAATTTGTGGACTTCTGTTATTTCGGGCTCGACATTGGTTTTATTAGGCGTCAGTAAACTGCTTCGTTTGGCCGTTGCCTGCTTGAGATATGTTTACGCCTTAATAAATAATTCTTATACACGCCTTCTAATACTTTACACTGATGTCAATGAGAACAGTTCGAGCTTAATTAAAAGTAGGAGAGTAAGCGAACAGTATTGCTACATGTCAATATGAGCCACTGTATCTGGTGACGACGGCCCGATGATGGTATATTCCGAGGAAGCGGTCAATAATGATAAACGAATATGTGAACTAAGCACACTTCTGTTTGGGGACCATCTAATGGTGAGCCAAATTCTGGACCTGATCATGGACGCGGCACATGGTCGCTATCCCCGCCCACGCCGGGAGATCGTCTTGTTTGACAATACAACACTGCTGCCTTTTGTTCAGAGCGGGAGCGCGCGCCGGTTCACAACATGGGTCTGCCGTAGGGATTGGAGTTTATGCTATCGAACCGAGATGCTGTTGACGGTCCTGCTGTTTGGATCATGCAGTTCTGGTTGATACTGATATTTATTTGGTTTGATTGTTTCTTTTTTGTGCACCACCACTCTGGGTGTCGACTTGGCGTTATAATGCCCCCCTTTTCTTCATCCACACCACCACTGCGACAATCTACTGTGCTGGTTGTGCGCTTGTCTGTGTGGCCATGATCTTGTCCTTGATCTCATCCATCTTGGTGTTGGACTCTTTGATCTCGTCCTCCAGCCGGCCGCTTTCACTCCAGTTAACAAATGCATCATATATATATATATATATAAGGGGGTTTCCACGTACATCTCCTTGTCAATAAAGTCCAGACGGCCCTTGACTGTGCTGTCTGCCTCAAACTTTTCCTGCTTCAACAGGACGGGGCCGACGAGTTTGTAAATGGTCTCGCCGTCCTTGAGGTCCTCGAATTGCTGCGGAGGGGGGATGTTAGATGTATATCTCAGCATACAAGAGGGGACACATGCGCCTACCTTCTTGACACCCTCGTTCTCTGTCTTCTGCGCATTCAGCCGTTGCTGCGCTACGATCAATGTCTGTTGCTCTGAGGAGGTTGTCAGCCATACACATGCATCAACTGCAAAAATTCTACTCATCTCCGTATCATCTCATCTTACCCTGCTGCAGCTTCGTATACTGGTCCGTCAGCTCCTGGAGCTTCCCCTGTGCGTCGCTTGCCGGTGCAGCCATGGCGTCGGTAGAAATGTATATGTGAAAAGATCAAAAGGAGAGACAATGAAGAAAAGAACAAAAGTATGACAATTTGAAATGCGCAATTTGGAATCTGAGAGGCGCACAAGCAACAGCGCAAAAACTAGCACCAGCTGCTGCGCGTCATCCAAAACAGCAATGCAAGATGATATATCAAAATAAGATGATCCGTAGTGATGTTGGACTGCGTAAGTTTGTGGTCGTCGACTTGCTTCGTTTTGTGCTGTCGTCTCAACTCGAAGCTTGCTTGGCTGGTGCTGCAACGCTCTTCCTCCCCTCGTTTTCTGCCGCCTTCCAGAACCACCACCAAAAAGCTCCACAAAATTGGTCTAGCCTTGTTGTGCCTCCTTTTACCCAATGACGCTGAAGCCACCCCCTGTCTACCGATCTCTCGCTGAATCTTTAGCGCTGTCGGGGCACTCGGGGCACCTATGCGCAATTCACGCTGGCCTTTTGGTGGCGGATCCGCTTCCTTCAGTTGGGACTTGGGTGCCTGCCTTCTCGTGGCGTCACCCGGTTACCCCGCCAAACACAAGCGCACGCAGAACTGGCAGGAACGACCACTGCCACTCAGAACAGGGAAAACTCACATCGTCACTGTCTCCTCTGCTGCCTTTGGTCTTTTCGTCCCAATTTCCCATTTCTCTCGCAAACTCGACGCTCGACGAACGACTGCAACTTGCCTCTTTTCTTTTCGTCGTCTCGCGACAGTTGCATCCCCTCTTCGGCGGGCACACATTTTGACCTCGGCGGCATTCTTTTGTCGGTGGTCCGCCTCCCAATTGACCACGACCGGCCTCCGACCAGCCTCCACCTCCTTGTCCTCCTGTCCTCCTTTTCCTCCTCTTCCGCCTCTCTCCGTTCTTCATTGCTCTCGACGCCGATCACAGCCTGACTCCAGACGACCATTTCGACATCCCGCCCTCCTCCTACAATCAAACACCCCCCATCTCCTTCCACAATGTCGAATACAGACTTCCTCGGCCGCGCCATTGAGCAGGTCCGCAAGGCCATCGAGGCCGACAACGCCGCCCAGTACGAAAAGGCCTACCAACTCTACTATGCCTCCCTCGAAATGTTCATGCTCGCCCTCAAGTGGGAAAAGAACCCCAAGTCCAAAGAGATGATCCGCCAAAAGACCGCCGAGTACATGGAGCGCGCCGAGAAGCTCAAGGCCCACCTGTCCGACGCCGAAGCAAAACGCAAAAAGCCAGGATTGGTCGGCGCCAACGGCTCGTCGACGGGAGGCACGGGCAAGGGCAAGCAGGGCGACGGCAGCGGTGCCGAGGACGGGCTCGACGAGGACAGCAAGAAGCTGCGCAGCGCGCTGGCGGGCGCCATCATGGGCGACCGGCCGAATGTCAAGTGGGACGACGTGGCCGGGCTGGAGGGTGCCAAGGAGGCCTTGAAGGAGGCCGTGCTGCTGCCCATCAAGTTCCCGCACCTGTTCCAGGGCAAGCGCCAACCCTGGAAGGGCATCCTGCTGTACGGCCCGCCCGGTACTGGCAAGAGCTACCTGGCCAAGGCGGTGGCCACCGAGGCCAAGAGCACCTTTTTCAGTGTCAGCAGTTCGGATCTGGTCAGCAAGTGGATGGGCGAGAGCGAGCGGCTGGTCAAGCAGCTCTTCAACATGGCGCGCGAGAACAAGCCGTCCATCATCTTTATCGACGAGCTCGACGCCCTGGCCGGCCCCCGCGGCGAGGGCGAGTCCGAGGCGTCGCGGCGCATCAAGACGGAAATGCTCGTGCAGATGGACGGTGTCGGCAAGGACAGTACCGGCGTCCTCGTGCTGGGCGCCACCAACATCCCCTGGCAGCTCGACACGGCCATCCGGCGCCGCTTTCAGCGCCGCGTCCACATCAGCCTGCCCGACGTCGCCGCCCGCACTACCATGTTCAAGATTTCCATTGGCGAAACCCCGACCACCCTGCAGAACAACGATTATCGCGAGCTGGCCAAGCTGGCCGAGGGCTACTCCGGCTCCGACATCAGCATCGCCGTCCAGGACGCCCTGATGCAGCCCGTGCGCAAGATCCAGCAGGCCACGCACTTCCACGCCGTCACCGACAAGGACGGCAACAAAAAGCTGACACCCTGCTCGCCCGGTGCACCCGACGCACAAGAAATGACGTGGGACGATGTCGACTCCGACCAGCTGTTGGAGCCGTTGGTGGACTTTAAGGACTTTGTCAAGGCCATCAAGGGCAGCAGACCGACCGTGTCCAAGGAGGACCTGAAGCGGAACGAGGAATGGACACGCGAGTTTGGTAGTGAAGGCGCGTAGGTCGGAGAGGGACGCTCATATATGGTGTGGTGATTCAGCAGAAGCACGGCGTTTACGGAGTTTTGCCATTTCAGTCCATTACTTTCCCATACTTTTTCGTGTTTTCGTGTATGTTCATGTCTCATTTACGACGAGCGCCATTTTACACAGTTACTTGTATTTTGTATCTTATTGTACATGTCTTACGTCTTGAAATTTATGTCCTTGAAATGACACTGCTGAGGCTGCGCAGTCGCATGTAACAGATCATATTGTACGAACATTTCGAAGTGCTCCTATTATTTTGTCCTGTGAAGAAAGAAAAGAAGAAACTCCAAGCCAAGGAATCCCACCAAGAAAAACTCCAAAAAAAGATACAAGGAAAACAAGAAAGCAAAAAGATATAACAGACAGAGAAGATGGCAGAAGATGAAACAAATGACAGACACATGAGTAAAACTCAAGAGATATGCCGCAAAACAAATCGATGCCCAAAATGAAGAAAAGGAGAAATCCAAGACAAGACTCAGTGTCCCAAACAGCTGTAACAAAAGGCAAAAGACTCAAACAAGGATCAGAATACAAGAAGATGCGACGACACAGGATACGGATCCTATGCAGTTGACTTCTTCTTCTTCTTCTTCGGCTCGTCGAGGTCCATGGCACTTGCGTCGAGCGACTTGCGCTTCTCCTTCTTCTCCTTTTTCTCCTTCTTGTCCTTCTTTTCCTTCTTTTCCTTCTTGTCTTTCTTGTCCTTCTTGTCCTTCTTGCTGGCCTTCTTCTCGGCCTCGGCTTCCTCGTCGTCGTCCGACACATCGTCCATGTCAATGTCTACATCGGCCGACGCGCCGCTGCCGCCGGCGTCCGCCAGCACCTTGGCCATGGCCTCCTCCATCGCGTCCACATTGGTCATGGGCTTCTTGCCTGACGCAAAGAACTCGAGGCGGTCCTCGAGCTGCTGGCGCATCACCTCGCCGAACCGCGACGTCGGCTGCTCGCTGAAGCTATCCACGCGGGCTGCAATGCTGCACTTGTTGGCGAGGTAGCGCGAGATGCGGCCCTTGTGGCGCGGGCCCGAGCGGCCGATAAAGGAGCTCTGGTAGATCAGGCCGTACTTGGGCGTGTTGCCCTTGGTCTTGAGGGCGCGGAACAGCGCCTTCTCGGCACCCAGGATCTGCAGCGTCGAGGCCGGGTACTTGGCCAAGCTGGTCAGCGAGCCGGCGTGCGAGATGAGGCGGGCCGCGACGGGCGTGCCCAGGATCACCTGCAGGTTGGGCGCCACGATGCCCATCTTCGCCTCGAGCGACGAGGCCAGCACCTGGCGGTAGGCGGCCAGCTTGGACACGGCCGTGGCAAACGACTTGACCATCTCGAGGTCCTCGGCGTTGATGTCCTGGCCCATGGACACCTTGGCGGCGTCCAGAATGGCCTGGGCGCGGCCGCCGTCCTCGCTGAGCACAGCCGCCACGTCGTGCAGCCTGTCGTCGGTCAGGGTGTTCTTGTTGCCAATGACCCGCACGAGGTTGGCGTAGGTGACGTTGTCCGACACGATCTTGATGAGCTCGGGGAAGTGCCAGCCGTACCACTCGCGCACGCGCATGCAGCCGCTGTTGATGGTCTTGTCGAGGGCGTCGAGCGTGGCGATCTGCTGGATGATGTGATTGTCGTTCTTGTGGATGTTGAACTTGACGCCGGAGCGCGAGAAGGCGTGGCCCATGCCCAGGTGGGCGCGGCTCATGTCGCCGTCGTGCAGGCCCTTGAGCAGCTTTTCGGCGTACTGGCGGATGCCGCGCAGCAGTGCCGCCACGACCTCGGACGTCTCAATCGTCTCGCACTCGACGCCGGGGAAGCGGCTGCTGATGTCGCTGGCCAGGTTCTTGTCCGGCACGCCCAGCACGACCTTGCTCTTCTTGCCGCTCGTCTTGGGCAGGCTCAGCTCGAGGACGGATGCCAGGTACTCGGAGACGATGCCCTCGGACAGCTCGTTGAGGTTCTCGAGACCCTCGGCGTGGTTTCTAGACAAAGGTCAGCGGATAGTCAACGGCATGCGGGGCCGGCGACCAGATACACACCTCCACGGCGAAAAGTTCACCAGCTTGACCATCTTGCCAAACTTGGACAGGTCCGACATGGAGTCCTGCACCTCTTTGAGGCGCACGCCCACACTGTCGGCCTGGTGCACCACCTCGAAGATGCCATAGCCGACCGCCGAGTCGTAGAGGATGTAGTTGACGCTCGCCATTGTTCAGGCCGTGCGACGGAAAACGGGCGTCGCTTTTGGTGGTTAGGGAGGGGGACTTGTCGATTGGGGTCAAACAACAAGAAAGTCGAGTGTGAACAGTGCAAAAAAGGAAGCTTTTTTTTCTTTGGTGGTCGGGGCCGCTCCTTCTGCCAGTCCAACAACTTTTTTTTCCTTAGCGTCAATCCAGAGAATATAAGTGGGCCTTATAATCTTTTGCTTTACACGTGATCATTCCCGTGATGTTATCTAAGCGGATAATACTAGCCCCGATACCCGTGTAAGCCAGCCAGAAATCAGGGAATAGGAATAGCAGGCGATGCTCCTTTTGCTGTCAGTGGAGCTGTCCAGTGAGGCTTGGGTGAGAGTGGGATGTCGGAGCTCTTGGCTCTTGACATGAGGGGACGACATGCCCGCTGGGCGGTGTATTGCGTCGCAAGGTGGCTGCATGCCTCCTGAGCAAAGCTGAGAGCTGAATATTAAGACACAGCTTGAATTCAATCCCATTGTTATTGATATCATCCCTCGTTGAAAGTTCAGTGTGTCGCTGGCCTCAATACAGCTGATTCCCGCCCGATTTGTTGCATCATTGACCTCCTTCTCATTGAGCTCCTACCGCTTTGTGCTTCCACACGGCCGATCTACCAGACAGCCCGCAGTTAACTACCACGTCCTACAGCATCAATCCACATCAATCTGCATAAGTCTGTAGCACCGCCATGGCCACGCCTCGCGGCTACCGTTCGGTGGTCTACTTTGCCAACTGGTCCGTGTACGTCCGTGCCTACAGGCCCCAAGACCTGCCCGCCGAGCACATCACCCACATCCTCTATGCCTTTGCCAATATCCGGCCCGAGTCCGGCGAGGTCATCCTGACCGACACATGGGCCGACACCGGCATTCATTGGGAGGGAGACACCTGGGACCAGCCAGGCAACAACATGTTTGGATGCATGAAGCAGATCAACATCCTCAAAAAGCGCAACCGCAACCTCAAGGTGCTGCTGTCCATTGGCGGCTACACCAACTCGGCCAACTTTGTCAAGCCGGCCTCGCGCCCTGAGCTCCGCGCGGTGTTTGCCGAGACCGCCGTCAAGCACGTCAAGGAGCTCGGCTTTGACGGCATCGACCTGGACTGGGAGTACCCGCAGAACGCAGAAGAGGCCGCCAACTACGTGCAGCTGCTGTATGAGTGTCGCAAGGCGCTGGATGCCTACGGCGACTCTCTGGGCCCCAACCGGTACCACTTTGAGCTGACGGTGGCCTGCCCCGCGGGACCGCAAAACTATGAGATTCTCGACGTGCCGGCCATGGACCGCTACCTCGACTTCTGGAACCTCATGAGCTACGACTACGCGGGCTCCTGGAGCAGCGTCTCGGGCCACCAGGCCAACGTCTACCCGCACCAGACCAACCCCGCCATCACGCCCGCGAGCACCGCCGTCGCCCTGCACTACTACCAGTCGCGCGGTGTGGCCACGAACAAGATTGTGATGGGCCTGCCGCTGTATGGTCGCGCGTTTACCAACACCGACGGTCTCGGCCGGCCGTTTGAGGGCACGGGTCCCGGGTCGTTTGAGGCCGGCGTCTGGGACTTCAAGGCCCTGCCGCCACCGGACGCACAAGAGCACTACGACCCAGAGATTATTGCGTCGTCGTGCTACGATCCCAAGTCACGCACGTTCATCACCTACGACACCCAGCCGTCCACGCTGGCCAAGGCCACCTTCATTAAGGACCGAGGACTGGGCGGTGCCATGTGGTGGGAGGCCAGCGGCGACCGCGAGGGTCCCGCCAGCTTGGTGCGGATCATGTCGAACGCTCTGGGCGGTCCGGCGAATCTCCAGCAGCAGCCCAACTGCATCACGTACCCAGAGTCGCCATACGACAACCTGCGGAATGGAAACCTATAGTGATGAACCCGACAAGAATGTGAGCACGGGACACGATGTGCTGGATACATGAATGGGAAGCAACGTAGTCGTGGACGGCAAGCATCCTGTACAGCAACATAGAATGACATAGTACACCATGAATGCATTGGATAACAATAAAACAGGAATAACCGTTGCACAACACAGATATAGAGAATCGAGCACACACAAAGGCATCACTTGCAAACGTGCAACATCAAGACAACGGCGATCAAAACGAACTTGCATTGTAGATCAACCCAACGCCGTTGGAGAAGGCGGTTCCATGGTTAACCTTTCCATGCACCGCACGTAACAAAAATATACAAAAAAGATTTTGTGTTAAGCGTTTCACAATTCCTCAAGGTATCATTCCATGAGTGCGCTACTCAAGTTTTATTGCTTTCCGTTTCCCGTTTATTTATTGTTTGGTTCATGCTCCCATGCTTCCACGCAAGACGGCACGCTTAGTTGTTCTCGCCGAAGACGTAGGTCAGGTGGCAGCGGCCGCAGTATTGGCGGTCCTGCATGGCAGCCATGAAGACACCGGCACCGCACTGGTACATGTTAGTAGGTGGTTGATTTGCAAGAAACGCAGTCGTCATGGCCAACTTACAGTCTCGTTGGGGCACTCGCGGCGGAGGCGCTCAATCTTGCCATCGCCATCGACCTTGTAGTACTTGAGCACAGCCAACTTGGTCTTCTTGCGCTTGTGCTTGATCTTCTTGGGGGTGGTGTACACCTTCTTCTTGCGCTTCTTGCCACCACCACGCAGGCGCAGGACCAGGTGCAGGGTGCTCTCCTTCTGGATGTTGTAGTCCGACAGGGTGCGGCCGTCCTCGAGCTGCTTGCCAGCAAAGATCAGGCGCTGCTGGTCAGGCGGGATGCCCTCCTTGTCCTGGATCTTCGACTTGACATTGTCGATGGTGTCGGAGCTTTCCACCTCAAGGGTGATGGTTTTGCCCGTGAGGGTCTTGACGAAAATCTGCATCTTGCCTGCTTTACGGGGTTAGTGGACGGCGATGGGGCGAGGGACACGGAAATGAGAAAGATGAGCTCCCGCGGACTCTCGCATCGTTAGATCATCGATGTCGTCTTCTCCGAGTTTGTCTGAAGTCGGGAATACCGCGCGCTCCGACGGAAAACGTCAAAAATCCAAAGCCCAAAAACGCCGTGGTATCGTCAAGTCGTAAATGCGCCGAAAAACACGGAAAACTCGAATCAAACAAAGATGATCATGATGGAAAGCCTCACAGAAAGCATCTTGAGCGGCTTACCTAGCAATAGGAATTGCGTCCTAGGCAAACTTCAGATTCTTTTGGAGGGGGTTGACGAGAGAAAGAAGAACAAGATCAGAGAAGTTTTTCGGCATCCCATATTGCTAGAAAAGGATTTGGGCTGGGGCGAAAAAGAGTGGGTCCCGTTGATGTGAAAGCACGAAAATTATTTCGCTCCTGTTTCCATGCATTTGTGGCAAGGGCTGGTGCCACTGTATTATTAATACGGCCCTGGTGGAATTGGGGCGAAATTAGCACTCATTTGGTGTGGCAAGACAGTGAAAGTTTTACTTTGCCCGTGTCCGCACTGTCCTGTCACAAATAGCACTCTCACGTGCCATCTAGGGCTGTTCATTAGCGCGGGCTTGGCCCTCTATGAAAATTTTGGTGGGGTGAGAAGCCAGAGACAGGACCTGGAAAAGCGAAACGCCGCCAGCGTGCACCACTTTATGTGCTGTGCGCATTTATTGTGGAGAACCAGCGAGAAACGCAAAATTACTTTTCTCGTGGGCTATTTGACGTTTGTCTGCGTTCCCTCTCTCCTCTCTTTTCTTTGCACAACCACCACCACCCAACAAACCCTTTTTGAGATCCCATACCGACCTCAAATCGCCAAGATGGTTAAGAAGAGAAAGAACAAGTACGTCGACGAAATCGATTCGATCTGCGAATAATCCTTTCCTGCGTTCCTGCGGTCCTGCGATATTGCGACCGAACATTTGGCTAACTTGGTTTTTTTTTCCTCTTCTCCAGCGGCCGCAACAAGAAGGGCCGCGGCCACGTCAAGCCCATCCGCTGCTCCAACTGCTCGCGGTGCACGCCCAAGGACAAGGCCATCAAGCGGTTCACCATCCGCAACATGGTCGAGTCTGCTGCTATTCGTATGTTTATGGTCCTCGCATCTCGCTCGTTTTCGTCGAGGATATCTTTCGGTTTTGGACTTTGGACTCGGGCTAACAAAACAGGTGATATCTCGGACGCCTCGGTCTTCGCCGACTACACCGTCCCCAAGATGTACCTTAAGCTGCAGTACTGTGTCTCTTGCGCCATTCACGGCAAGATTGTTCGGTACGTTTGTCTCCGGGAGAGACAACCGCGTTTAGGTCGTGGCTGTCGACACAGATTGTTGTCGGCAACCCGGCCTGGCGTGAGCGGCTGAAAGAAGAACCTTGGACGGCTCGCGTGTCTCTCCCAGACGGCGGATCTCTTTTTGTTTCCCCTATTCTGGGAAATAATTCGAGGTCACGTCGTAATGTTGCTCTTACATACCAAAACCATATAGCCCCAGTATGGCCGTGTGCGTATAGGGCGCCCACCCAGAACCCAGATTTGCTAACATTGTAAACAGTGTCCGCTCCCGTGTCGGCCGTCGCAACCGCGCTCCCCCGCCGCGTGTCCGGTACAACAAGGACGGCAAGAAGGTCGTCCCCACCCAGGCCAAGACCCCCACTGCTTAAATCGTCCTCAACTAAAATTTCAACGACTGTTGCTCTTTCTCTCTCTTTGATGTAAATGAAAAGGGCGAAAGGAAAGCTGGCGTTTATTTTTAACGGTTTTTGATTTAGGCAAACAAAAAAGGGATCATGGCAAAACTGGGTGCGGATGTTGGTTGCTTGTGACGTTGACCAGGATGTTTCGGCAAAGGAGGTGTTGTTTTACATTTTAACTAGAATGAGGCACGCCCTCTTGCCGGACTCTGCTTCTGGGATAGTTTGCCTGTGAAAGGGTATATTGTTCGGGGGCCGGCTTGCAAAATCCAACTTTGACGAACTTTGATGACAAGGCAATTTGAAAAACGTAAATATTTCTAGTGCAGATGTGTTTATTTGAATGACCTTTTCGATGACCGGTATCGTTGTCTAAATTATATTTTATTTATTCTTTGACCCAGGATATCAGCTTCGTAGCACTGCCCAGCATATCGAACATCGTAGTTTGTGGACATCGCCATCTCGACGTCGGATATAAATCAGATCACGTGATTGCACATCCAACATAGGTTTCAACTCCCACCGGCTAGTCTTTACGTCTCTGGTCCAGCAGCTTCTTAATTCGGTATCGTGCGGCATGCATCTTGGCACACCCCGTTTCATCGATCGATGGCCCTTATCAGTGCCCGGAGCTACGGCGGTCTATCGACCAAGCAAGTCTATCATCTGACGGCCATGTATACGAGCACCGATTGGTGGCCGGCGAGCCGTACGAGGTAGCAAGGGGTGGTAGACTGGACGGGTCGTCTTGATGGAAAAAAGTAAGCTCGATAGATACGTTCGACGTACGACTGCGCCTTGTGACATATGACTGTCTGTCTGAGTTGGCATTGGAGCTCGAGAGTTCGCTATTATTCTACGTTAAGTAAAATTTGTGAAAGGAATTGGTTCAAAAATTCAGAAAAGCAAAATATGCTCAGCTAAAATAGACACAAAATTCTAGCAAATATCCAAGACATCTTATTAACGTCAATAAATTGCAGCAGGAAGAATTGCATCATCTGCCACGGTTTAGCTGTTTGCGGGGAAATAAGACCGCCACCCTCCCTGTCCGTTTGCCCTGAGGTCATCATCAAAGCGACATACTCGCATTGTACTGATGTCTCGGTGTGCTTGTTTAGCGCATTCTTACAGGGAATGCAGCGCTCGTATGTTACCGTTTGTTACCCCATCTGGGGTAAGATCGGGCGGCGCGGCTTTAATTGAGCCGCTGAAAGCCGAAGTGATACCCCTCTGTAAGCCGCACCTGAACCAACCACGACTGTTCATTCCTTGTTGTTGGCCCATTTCCCTCTCCAACACGACTGCGGAACAGTCTGCGCGTTGTTGGTGGTAGAATCCCGCGCCGGGCGGATGCGTCTAAGTGGTCGAACCACGACAGTACGGCAAGGCTAAACACGGGAGGAATTTGAAGGGAGACAAAGCTATGGTTTCTTTATGCTGGCGTCCGTCGGTACGAACGGAGAGCTGTGCTTTATCTGCTCCGTCTTGTAGCTCGTTTTCCGGGCATGTGCCTTCCCATTACGTAGACTTGAGTGAAAGGGAGGGAAGAACGGTTCGGACACGAGGGAAGCAGGGAAGGCGTGAGCGAGACGGGAATTTAAGATGTAGTTTTCTGTCGCTCGTTCGGGCCTCCTTTCCCTCTTGCTCTCCTCTCCCCATCTTTTTGGTTTACTTGTTTCGTCATTGTGAAGTTTCCAATTTGGAACGAAGGAACATCTCCAACTCGCCTACGGGAGCAAACACCACTCTCTGCATCTCCTAATGGATTTCAACTTTAGCCATCTCGTCGCCTGGGGCGGGATGCTGCTCGCAGCAGCTGCAGCCTATGTAACTTTTTCCCCAGATTCTTCCTGTCAACCTCTGTCATATTCTTCACATCCTTCTTTTTAGCTGACCAACCCTTCCTCTAGATCGCCGGCTTCATCATCTACCGTCTGTACTTCCACCCGCTCGCCAAGTACCCGGGCCCTTTCCTGGCCAAGATCACCGATGCGTACATGCTCTACTTTGCCTGGAAGGGCGACCGGCACCTCCAGTTCTGGCGGCTGCACGAGACGTACGGCCCGATTGTGCGCTGGGGCCCCAACAGCGTGTCGTTCAACAGCAACACGGCTCTCAAGGAGATTTACGGGTTCAAGGCCAACGTGGGCAAGTCGTCGTTTTACGACGCGTTTGTGCACCCGGCCCACAACACGCACAACGCGCGCGACAAGGCACAGCATGCGCGCAAGCGGCGGGTGCTGTCGCACGCCTTTTCGGACAGTGCCGTCAAGGAGGCCGAAAAGTACATTCTGGCCAACGTGCGTTCCTTTTGCAATGTCCTGGGGGGCAACGGAGGCCAAGGCAATGCTGTGGCCACCACCGGCGACAAATGGTCGGGCCCCGTCGCCATGAGCGACCAGTGCAACTACCTGGCCATGGACATTCTGGGCGACCTGTGCTTTGGCAAGGCCTTCCACATGCTCGAGGCGCCCGACAACCGGTACGCCGTCGACCTGGTCGGCGTGGCCGCGCGGCGCCACCTCATCTGCGGCACCATGCGTGCCGTCGAGCAGACGGGCATCGAGAAGGTGCTGTTCCGCGAGATCGCCGCTGGCCGCGCGCGCTACATGCAGTACAGCCGCGGGCAGCTGGCCGAGCGCATGGCGTTGGGCGACGACACGGACCGCCGCGATTTCTTTTACTATCTGCTCAAGGCGCGCGACCCGGAAACCGGCGAGGGGTTCAGCAAGCCCGAGCTGTGGGGCGAGTCCAACCTGCTCATCATTGCCGGCTCCGACACGACGTCGACGGGCATGGCCGCCACGTTCTTTTATCTGGTGCGCCACCCCGCGGCCCTGGCAAAGGCAACGCGCGAGGTCCGCTCGACGTTTTCGGATGTCGAGGAGATCCAGCACGGCGCCGCGCTGACGGGCTGCACGTACCTGCGCGCCTGCATCGACGAGGCCATGCGGTTGTCCCCGGCCGTGGGCGGCCTGCTGCCGCGCGAGGTGCTGGCGGGCGGCATGCAGATCGACGGGCACACCATCCCGGCGGGCATGGTGGTCGGCACGCCGCACTACACGATCCACCATAACGCAGCGTACTACCCGCAGCCGTGGGCGTACACGCCGGAGCGGTGGATCGCGGGCAGCACGTTGCCGAGCGGGGCGGTTGTCAGCGAGGATGATGTGCGCTGCGCGCAGTCAGCCTTCTGCCCGTTCAGCATCGGCCCGCGCGGTTGCATCGGCAAGGGCCTGGCATACACGGAGATGATGACGACACTCGCGCGGACGCTGTTTTTGTATGATGTGCGGCGGGCCCAGGGTGTGGTGGACCCGGGCGAAGGCCGTGTAGGTGCCGAATGGGGCCGCGACCGGCCGGGTGAGCTGCAGATGATGGACACATTTACGAGTGTCAAGAAGGGCGTGATGGTGGACTTTAAGCCGCGGGCGTAGGGAGGGTACACAGGAGGCTGGCACGTAGACGCATGTGGTGAAATGATCCGCGTGACGTCTGGAGTTCATAGTCATTGGAATATAACGGAAAAGAGACTGCATTTGAACAAACATTTGAGATACAGTATAGCCAATGCAATGCAAGTTTGATTAACGACTACGTGTATTATTTTGCAGCTAAGAGAACTTGGATGGCATGAAATGCAGGCGTCACATGGAGGATGTGTATGTGGTGTGGTGACGGACTCCTGATAAAAAAGGAAACAACGAACGCGCACGAGAGCGAGGCCAAAAACGGGTCGGCCCGTTACACCCGTCCATCGTCGACCATCTGCGCCTTGGTATCGGGCGTGTGGCCACCAAAAGCGGCGTCACCGTCGAAAATGACGGCAATCTCCTCGAGGGTGCGGCCCTTGGTCTCGGGGAAGAAGAACCAGACAACGACAATCTCAATAGCGATGATGACAATGTAGACAATGTAGTACTTCCAGGTAATGGCTTCCATGGCGACGGGGTTGGCGTAGCCGTTGAAAATGAGGCAGCACGTGCCGGCAATCTGCATAATGTTGGTGCCCTTGGCGCGCAGGTGCGTGGGCAGGACCTCGGTGACGTAGACCCAGGGCACGCCGTTGAGGCCGGCGTTGTAGGCGGCGTTGTACAGGAAGATCATGGCGACGACGCCGGTGCCGAGGCTGCCGTTGACAAAGTTCTGCTGTTGGTTGATGGCAGACAGGATGGTCCAGATGATGTAGGTGACGAGCATGCCGACGGTGGAGAAGAGGAACAGACGGCGGCGGCCGAGGAGGTCGATGAAGGAGGCCAGGATGACGCTGATGACAAAGTTGAAGACGTTGAGGCCGCCGTTGATGCGCAACTGCTGCGGCGCCGACGTCAAGCCGATGGAATTGAGGATGAGATGCAGGTAATAGGACGTCAAGCCGTTTCCTGAGAGCTGCATCATGCACGGCACGAAGATGATGATGAAGAGACGGTGGCGGTTGCCCTTGCCGTTGAGGAACTCGCGGTAGTTGGTGGAGCTCGAGACCTTGGCCGTCTCGATGTGGGCAATGATCTCCTTCATCTCAAAGTCCACGAGCGGCGAGGCCTCGTCGCCGCCCGCGTGGTACTTGACGAGCACCTTGCGGGCCTCCTCGTGGCGGTCCTTTTGCACCAAGTACCGCGGCGACTCGGGCATGAGGTAGACGAGAAACACCTGCAGCAGCGGGAAGAAGCCCTGCAGCAGCGAGGGGATGCGCCAGGCCCACGACTGGCCGGGGCCCATAAAGTAGGTGCCGTACGTGACCCAGGCGGCCAGCAGCGAGCCCAGGTACCACAGGTTGTTGTAGTAGCCCGTCAGGACGGCGCGGTGCGTCGGGTACGCCAGCTCGGCAATGAACATGGGCGACGCCTCGACGGCAATGAGGCCGCCAAAGCCGATAATCATGCGGGACGCCAGGAACATGCCGTAGTTCTGCGCCGCGCACTGCAGGGCGGCGCCCAGGACGAGCAGCAGCGAGCCGATGAAGATGGGGAACCGACGGCCGGTGTGGTCGCAGAGCCAGGGGGCAATGGGGAACGCGAGGATCTGGCCAAAGACGACGCCGTTGGACAGGGAGCCGAGACGCGAGCCGGTAGGCGTGCCGAAGAAGTTCTGCCACTGGTCCATGGACTGCAGGCCGTTGAGCATGGAGCCGTCGTAGCCGTTGGTGGTGGACGAGAAGTAGGGGATGATGATGAGCAGGTTGAGAATGAGCAGGTGACGCTGCTTGTACCAGGGCGGTGCGTCCTGGGGCAGGACCTGGCGGATGTCCCACTCGGCCTGGTTCTCCGGGAGGCGGGAGGTCGGCGAGACATCATGCGGACTGTCGAGGTCGGCGTGCGCGGCCGAGACCGTCGGCTTTTCGCCATGATGAGAGATGGAAGGGAGTGGGGGGTGGATAGAAACCAAACGGATGAGTATAGAATGCGGATGGAATATCAGAACACTGAAAGCAGGGCAAGACAAATATAATGACAAAATGAAGGAGACGATCGACAGTACAGTCTGTGGCTGTATCTGCTATCACTGCTCTGGGTGCGAGGACCGGTGGCGATGGAAACAAGATCAACAACAAGAACTCATGATCAACACGACAGCCACATGGTCAATATATATATCTCTGTCAATGGCACGTTGTGTCGAGAGTGCGGGGCAGGGTAAAGTGAAGAGTGAAAATTAAGTAAAATCAGTTGACAAGGATCGCGGTCCGCTAAAGCCATCTGTCGGGGATGGTTGTTGTCTGTTGTCTCTGGTGCATTGGTCGACTGATCGTCCGAGGTGGTGACCGCGATGTCGCACCCCAGACTGGAAAACGCGAAAATATGGAAAACGGAAGACGGAACACGGGAGACGCAGAGTCAGAAAGGCTGCAGACTGGGGATGTGGAGAAGAGGAAAATGCTGAATGGCAGGGGCGCATAGACAATGTCTGGCAGTGAACCGAAACTCCGCGTGGTATTTGGGAGAACCGGCAGGCTGGGGTGAATTTTGCGTAAGGCTGTCTTATTTCGTTGTACTTTTTGTCACTTGTTCTCTTTTTCTTTTTACGTTTTGTGGTTCCCCACCCTCGGCTGTTGACCCCAGGGGGCAGAAGCGAGGAGAGCGTGAGGGGAGAAGGAGGGTGAGGTGAGACGAGAAAACCTGGAGAACAATGACGAAAAAAAAAGAAAAAAAATGGAGAATGGGGCGGGAGAAAGTGGAGGACGGGGGGGGGGGGAATAAGAAACGAGACCGAGTAAAGAAGAAAAAAATACGAAAATGACACGAGAGATGGGAGAGTATGGAGAGTGGAAGAGTGGAAGAGTCACATAATTGCTCCGGAAATACAAGAAGGGTAACAAGGCCACAGTCGGTGAAGCACCAAAATGCAGGCGGAAAGGCTGATGCGACTACAACACGCACTGGCAGTGAACACCCGACTTGACATTCACCCGGCAAAAAGGCCGTCTTCGGCCCTATCCAGTCACACTCTGCAGGCAAGCAAACAAGAGGGGAAACATGGCCGGGGGACAAACGGCGGAGAATAGGAGGATCGGCAGGCCGAGTGACCAGACCCCAGGTTTCGATTGCTGGAGAGGAGGAGGGAGCCAGGGAATAAGACCGAGTGGCTTGTGAGCGACTTGAGGAACTACGAATAAAGAAATAAAAGTCTTAAAAAAACCGAACAAAATTAAGGAATCAACACTAGGACCTAAATAAGCAAAACATCCCAGCCAGATGGCTCCAAAAAGAGCAGCGGTACTTACCAAAGAATCCTTCATAATACGGCAGAATCCACCCAGAAGTTGAACGACAAGTTTTGGTCCCTTTCCTCTGTGCGAACCACATGTTTGAAAGATAGATTGGTGTTTGTGGAGAAGTTGGGACTTGAAAAGACTAACACGCAGAGTGGAGATCGCCGAAGGCCACCAGCCAATCACAGCCACGAGTCGAGCACAATTCAACGGTCTGCTGGTACGTCCGATACTCCGCGCCTTCCTTTTCGGGTCGTCTCCTGGTTCTCATCCTCCAAGGACCCTCTTTCCATTTCCGCTGGCCACGCGCTGTGTCGCTCCTGCCCCAGCACCCCCATACTTTTCCGCACCTTCCCCAGTTTCGTTTCTCGCCTCCAGCCTTTCTCCGTATCTGCCGTCGCGCCTTCCTTCGCTTCCAGCTTCCCCTATCTCTGCCTTCCTCCTATCTTCCGCGGCATCGCGAGGTTGTCATCTTCTAAGATTTCGATTGCGCTTTGGCCAAGACAGCCGTTCACGGCGTACGGGCTGACCCACGCCTCAACCGTATCGTCGACAGCCTTCCATACTCGCGGAGTTTCGGATCTCGATTCGTCTCGTATACTCTGACCTCATGTCGTCCTCGTACACGAGTCCCGGTGCGGTGGAGGTCCACGGACATGGACATGGCCTCGCTCACTCTTTCAGCCACAATCTTGGACACGGCCAACAGCAGCAGCAGCAGCAGCAACAGCAGCATGCACACGCACATGCCCACGCCCACAATACGACGAGTCCCGTCGCGTACTACAGTGGCCACACATCCCAAGGATATGCGCCGGTCGTTGCCGACCCCGTTCTGACGTCCCCCTATTCCGTCGCTGCGACCACGCCCTCGGCCACAGCCACGACCACGTCCACGAGCCCACCTTCTCTGCTTCTTCCTCCTCCACCACCGCCGTCTGTCCCGGTCATGCGACCCCCACAGCACATGTCCTCGTCGCCCAGCCCGTCGGCGTCGTCTGCCGATCCTTCTCTTCCTCTTCCCCCACCCTCTTCTGCGGCATCAACCACAGCAACGAAGCGCCGCCTTCCGCGCGCCGCCGCGACGTACCCGCGCAAGCGCGCCACGCAGGCGTGCCTGACGTGCCGGTTCCGGCGCACCAAATGCGACAATGCCCGGCCGGCGTGCGCAGCCTGTGTGCGGCTGGGCGCGGACTGCTCGTACCGCGAGGCCGACCACTCGACGTTTGACCCGGCGAGTTTGACCATTTTGAATCGGCTCGACGATTTGGAGCGCTTGTTTCGGGAGAGGAGCGCAGGGACGGCGCCAGCTGTCCCGGGGCCACCCATGGTACAGACGATCCCCCCCAACGCCGTCAACGGTCATGGTCACGGCCACGGCCACGGTCACGGCCGAAGCTTGGACGCCACCAGCCCCGCGTCCCAAATCTCCCAGGCCCAGAGCGACCTGAGCTATGCCGTCGACGTGTGGTCGCGCGACAAGCGGCCGCAAGTCAGCATCGACGCCGTGCTGCAGTGGGCGCCGCTCAAGGACGAGGGGTTCACGACACGCATGTTTCCCTCGCCGCGGCGGGACGATGCGACGTCGCCGGAGGCGAACGGTGCCTTGAGCAACGGCAACGGCAGCAACTGGCGCGGTGCCATTGACCTCGACCTGCCGGCCGCCGATGCGGTGCTGCGCAGCTTCTTTGACAATGTGCACGTCTTCAACCCGATCCTCGAGGAGGAAGACGTCCAGGACTACGTCAAGATGGTCCGGTTCCAGGGCATCGGCTGGGACGCGGTGTCGTGTTTGACGCTGCTCATCTACGCACTGGGCACGGCGTGCACGACGTTTGGGCGCGACTACGCCGGCGAGGTGGGGCTGCCGTCGGCGTTCCGGCAATCGCCCGAGTTCCACGAGGCCGAGGCGTACTTTGTGGCGGCGCAGAAACGCATGGGCATGCTGCTGTGCCGCAGCGGCGTGATTGATGCGCAGTGCTTCTTTCTGGCGGGCGTCTATCTGATGACGACGCTGCGGCCCGTTGAGGCGTGGAAGATGTTTGTGCAGGCGCTGGCTTGCTGCCAGGGGTTCCTGGTGCCGGACACGGAGGAGGGCCCCGCGACGTCGCCGGCCACCGAGGCAGCGGCAGGTGCTGGTGCTGCTGCTGCTTCAGTTGTCGCTGGAACAGAAGACGGCTCCAACCCCAAACGGCGCATCTACTGGGCGTGCTACAAGTCGGAGCTGGAGCTGCGCCTCGAGCTCAACCCGTACCAAAAGGACGTGTGGGACCTGACGTATCCGACCTTTTTCCCCTCGCCGCCCGACGCCCTCAAGGCCCGCGACGAGACGGCGTGGTACTTTTACCTGGCGGAGATCGCCCTGACGCGGCTCAAGAACCGCATCCTGAGCCACCTCTACCAGTCCGACACACACGCCACGCGGGAGAGCAACATTGAATACATTCTAGACTTTGAAGAGCAGATCCAGGCGTGGCTCGGGTCGCTGCCGCCGCCGCTGGAGCTGACAGCCTTGTACGGCGGCGGCGACGGCGATGGAGATGGCGATGGCGACGGGGGCGGAGCAGCTGCCGCCGAGGACCGGCGCCGCGACCAAAACGAGGCGTTCCGGTATGTCTTGAACGGCCACCTGCTCGACTGCAAGGAAATCATGTACTGGCCGTTTGTCGTCGATGCCGTGCACGGGCGGTCGACAACAGCAACGGCAGCGAGCAAGAGCCGGTCATACACAGCGGCCGGGCGGCACCACTTCGCGTCGTTTGTCCGCAAAGGGCTGCGGGTCTGCGTCGACCGCATCCGGCAGAGCCACCAGGGGTTCCGGCACCGGCACCACGGCACGTGGCTGATGCTGCGGTCGAGCACGCGGAGTGCACTGGTGCTGCTGGCGGTGGCGCGGTGTCCATCACTTGCGTCGCAAGGGCCACACGGGCTCCAAGGGTTGGACCAAACATTACCCGCAGTACCTTCACTGCCCACACGGCCGATATTGCCCGCCGGCTGGGACGACAGGGTGGCGGATGTGGCCGACATGCTGCAGCTGTGGCAGGACGAGTCGTCGGACGTGCGGGCGATGTTGACGGCGGTGGAGGCGCTGTTGAGAACATCGCCGATGCGGACGGCGTAGGGGGATGAGGAATTTAGACAACGGCAAGGCGAGCCGGGGTACAAGTCTCATTACGCTTTGCATAGCTGGTCTGATTGCAGCTTGCTGTATATTATTGATTATTTGATTGTACATATTTTATATTCGCACAGACGACACGACACACGCGACATTAAGTACCGTCACATTGGACACAATGCTGGGAACTTGCGGAGTACTGCAAGCATGGCCAAGACAGGGGGTGTTCCGATGCATCGAACAAAGCTTGTCAGCTCCGAGCGGACTCAAAGTTGCGATTGACTATACGCGGTGTCGATTCTGTCCGTGTCTGTCTCACTCAGACTGCCTCGTGGCTGTCAGATCATATGCCGATCCCAAGACGCGGAGTCGAATATAATAAAACGGCCATGCCCCGCGGATTGTCGGATAGAGTGGGCCGTCACCCGCTGCGGAATTGCGGACCTCAGACTGCCCACTTACAGCAGTTGTCCCCTCGCAAAGGACCGAATCTGCAGCTCGGCATGCACTAGACGAGCCGGGGTTTTGCCGATACTCCGCACTGCGCGAAAGAAGTGCATCTGAACGACAGAGAAGAGGGAGCAAGCAATGTCGACGTTGCTGTTACAGGACAACAGTCGTTGGGTTCTCCTTTTATTTATTATGGATTTCCGAACCGTCCAGTCGTCTTTGCGCTGTTTTCCGTCTTCGTCCCGACATTCCGGCCGATCAACAGACAGTCCGGACCACAAACCGTCCCACATTTACGGAGAACTTATGCCAGCTCTGGCCTCTGTTTGCTCCACAGGAGATCCAGCTATCCGTCTCTTGTCCACGCCCTAGCGGACCGGCGGACCAACGTGGATGTCCGTGTTAAGCAGGTTCAGCAGGAGAAGGGTGGCAAGCATTAATGGATAGACGGCTGCTGTCTATGTGCTCGTCAACTGTGCATATTTCCATATTTCCACAGTACCATATTCCCACAGTACCATATTCCCACACTCCATACTCCCGTTCCACGACGTAAAGACTGGGCAGCTATAAAAGAGACAGCGTGCGTCGGTAAAACATCGGAAGAATCACGGGACGACGTGCGCCGACTGACAACGCGCCAAGCTGCTCACGACGTGCGTTGACGTTCTTCTTGGCCGTATCGATTATAAGACGGCCAGCTCGTTGTCGTTTCGTTTTCTGCCAACAGCAACCGCACAGCAAAACCACCACCTCCTCCTCCACCGAGCACACAACCACATCACAACCCCACGCCTCCCACCACCATGAAACCCTCGCAGCTCGACGTCGAGGCGGTCCTCGAGCAGCTGTCGCTCGACGAAAAGGTGGCGCTGCTGGCGGGCATTGACGGCTGGCACACCAAGGCGATCCCGCGGCTGGGCGTGCCGTCGGTGCGCATGTCGGACGGCCCGAACGGCGTGCGCGGCACGCGCTTCTTCAACGGCGTGCCGGCGGCCTGCCTGCCGTGCGAGACGGCGCTGGGCGCGACCTTTGACCAGGCGCTCGTCCGGGAGCTGGGCGCGCTGCTGGCCGACGAGTGCCGGGCAAAGGGTGCGCACGTGCTGCTGGGCCCGACCATCAACATCCAGCGCGGGCCGCTGGGCGGCCGCGGCTTCGAGTCGTTCAGCGAGGACCCCGTGCTGTCGGGCACGCTGGCGGCGCGGTACTGCGAGGGCGTGGAGGCTGGCGGGGACGTGCTGGCGACGCCCAAGCACCTCGTGTGCAACGACCAGGAGCACGCGCGCGTAGCCGTCAACGCCATTGTCACGGAGCGCGCGCTGCGCGAGATCTACCTGCTGCCGTTCCAGCTCGCCCTGGGCCAGGCGCGCCCGGGCGCGCTCATGACGTCGTACAACAAGCTCAACGGCACGCACGCGAGCGAGAACCCGCGCCTGCTGCAGGACATTGTGCGGCGCGAGTGGGGGTACGACGGCCTGATTGTGAGCGACTGGTTCGGCACGTACAGCGTCAGCGAGGCCGTCAACGCCGGGCTGGACCTGGAGATGCCGGGCATGTCCGGCTTCCGCGGCCCCGCGCTGATCCACGCCGTCACGTCCAACAAGGTCAAGGAGACCACGATTGACGAGCGCGTGCGCCGCGTGCTGCAGATGGCCAGCAAGGCGCTGGCGTCGAGCATCCCCGAGATGCTGGCGCCCGAGCAGACGCGCGACACACCCGCGACGCGCGCGCTGCTGCGGCGGGCGGCCGCCGAGTCGGTCGTCCTGCTCAAGAACGAGGACGGCGTGCTGCCGCTGAACCCCGCCAAGCGCACCCTCGTCCTCGGGCCCAACGCCAACACGGCCACCTACTGCGGCGGCGGCTCGGCGGCGCTGCCAGCCTACTACACCACGACGCCGCTGCAGGGCATCCGCAGCAAGGCGGCGTCGCCCGACCTCGTGGCGTTCACGCAGGGCGCCTACGGCCACAAGGAGCTGCCGCTGCTGGGCGAGCACCTGACGACCGGCGACGGCCGCGTGGGCTACACGTTCCGCGTGTACACGGAGTCGCGCGAGCAGAACCCGCAACGCCAGGCCGTCGACGAGCTGCACATGACCAGCAGCTCGGCCTTCTTGATGGACTACATGCACCCGCAGGTCAAAGGCGACACCTACTACGTGACCATGGACGGCACCTTTACGCCCGTCGAGACGGGCCTCTACGACTTTGGCCTGACCGTCGCCGGCACCGGCCTGCTGTACATCGACGGCCAGCTCGTCGTCGACAACAAGACGAACCAGCGCCAGGGCACGTCCTTCTTTGGCATCGGCACGCCCGAAGAGCGCGGGTCCATCGAGCTGACGGCCGGCCGCGCCTATGCGGTGCACGTCGACTACGGCACGGCGCCCACGTCGTCGCTCAAGGTCAAGAACGTCGTGTCGTTCGGCCCCGGCGGCCTGCGGCTCGGCGGCGCCAAGCGCATCGACCCGGCCAAGGGCATCGCGGAGGCCGTCGCGCTGGCCGCGGACACGCACCAATTCGACCAGGTCGTCGTCTGCGTCGGCCTCAACAGCGACTGGGAGTCCGAGGGCTTCGACCGTCCCCACATGGACCTGCCCGCCGGCTCCGACGAGCTCGTGCAGCGCGTGCTGGCCGCGCGCCCGGATGCCGTCGTCGTCGTCCAGAGCGGCACGCCCGTCACCATGAACGCGTGGGCGTCGTCTGCCAAGGGCCTGCTGCAGGCCTGGTACGGTGGCAACGAGGCCGGCAACGGCATCGCCGACGTGCTGTTTGGCAACGTCAACCCGGCGGCCAAGCTGCCGCTGAGCTTCCCCGCGACGCTGCAGCAGAACCCCAGCTACCTCAACTACCGCTCCGAGGGCGGCCGCGTCCTCTACGGCGAGGACGTCTATGTCGGCTACCGCTACTACGACGCCACCGGCGTGCAGCCGCTCTTCCGCTTCGGCCACGGCCTGTCGTACACTAGCTTCACCAGCAGCGACTTGACCGCCGCCGTGTCCGCGTCGGACGCTGCCATCCAAGCGTCCTCCATCCGCCTGTCGCTGTCCGTCACCAACACGGGCGACCGCGCCGGCGCCGAGGTCCTGCAAGTCTTTGTCGCGCCGCCCGCGACCACCAGCATCCGCCGCCCCCCGCGCGAGCTCAAGGCATTCCACAAGGTGCCGTCCCTCGCCCCCGGGGAGACGCGTGCCGTCACGCTCGACCCCGTGTCGCTCGCGCTGGCAACCAGCTTCTGGGACGAGAACCGCGACGCCTGGCTCAGCGAGGCCGGCGAGTACACCCTGCACGTCGTCGGCACCGGCAGCGACAACACTGTGTCGACAACCTTCTCCGTGGCCAAGTCGCGCTGGTGGACCGGTCTGCTCGGTAAGATCGATGCTGCGCCGAACGGCACCAGCGGCGTCAATGGGCATGCGTAGACATGCTGTTTATTTGGAGTGTGCTTTTGTTGTTTTCGATTATAGAATGAATAGAATGTGTTGACTTTCACGTGAATGGCAATGGGGAGGTGACGTGCGCTGCCTCGGCCGTGACATTGAACTTGATCAGTCGGCAACGGTACAAATATACCCGGTACACTGTGACGACGCGACACGGCTGGGCGGCGTACGTCCCGCGATGACCGACTTTGTCCCGTTGTTAATATCGACGCCGCAGCAATGTGACGTACTCCGCAGACGGGCACATATTTTACCGCTTCTCCCGCAAAGCGGGACAAAACTGACAAAAATGCGATCTGGCGTCGTGACTTTGGCAATTTCCCGCTTCCATCAAGCGGCGTCGTAACAGTGGCTGCTACCCGTGCACGGTGTAGAACATACATTGTAGTCATCATTGGATGTAGTCAGCGAAAGAATCGTGGTGGTCGATTACCGGTCGTCGTTTTGTCCCTGGCATCTTGTCAGCTCACTCATCATCATTACCGCGTCACAACCCCATCCTCTCAACACGATGCGCCTTGTCCATCTCGTGTCTGCCGCCCTGGCTGCCGCCGGGCCTGTCAGTGCCGCCTGGCCAAACGGCCCCCTCGTCACCTCTGGCCGCTGGATCCACGATGCTGCCGGCAACAACGTCACCTATGCCGGCGCCAACTGGCCCGGCGCCGCCGACACGATGCTGCCCGAGGGTCTGCAGTTCCAGAGCATCGACGCCATTGTCGACAAGATCAAGGGCATCGGCATGAACGCGGTGCGCCTGACGTACGCCATCCAGATGATTGACGAGATCTACGACAACGGCGGCCAAGACGTGACCATCGCGACGGCCCTCACCAAGGCACTGGGTGCGACCAACGGCCCCAAAGTCTTGGCCCAGATCCTGGCGAAGAACCCGTCGTTCACGGCCAGCACCACCCGCCTGCAAGTGTTCGACGCCGTCGCCGCCGCCCTGCACAAGGCCCACATCTACGTCCACCTCGACAACCACATCTCGCGCGCCGAATGGTGCTGCTCGACGACCGACGGCAACGCCTGGTGGGGCGACACCGACTTTGACGTGGCCAAGTGGGTGCGCGGCCTGTCGTACATGGCGACGCACGCGGGGGGCGGCCACTGGCCCAACCTCGTGTCCATGTCGCTGCGCAACGAGCCGCGGTCGCCCGACGGCAAGGGCAGCGCGTCGGCCGCCGCGAAGAAGACGTACAACTGGCAGGGGTGGTACCGGTACGTGCGGCAGGGCGCCGACGCCATCCACGCCGCCAACCCGGACGTCTTGATTTTCCTGTCGGGCCTGGGCTACGACACCGACCTATCGGCCGTCACAAGGGGATCGGCCCTGTCGCCGGGGTCTGCCAAGTTCTCGCTCGGCGACTTCACCGGGTACGGCAACAAGATCGTCCTCGAGCTGCACAACTACCAGAACAGCGCCACCTCGTGCAGCAGCCTCGAGAGCGGTCTGGCCAGCAGCGGCTTCAGCGCGATGACGTCGACGTCCAGCAGCAGCGGCCTCCAAATCCCCGTGCTCATGACCGAGTTCGGCTTCCAGATGGACGCGTCCACGTACAAGGGCGTCTACGCCACCTGCCTGGCCAGCTACCTGCCCCGGATCCACGCCGGCTGGACCATCTGGGTGCTGTCGGGCAGCTACTACATCCGCTCGGGCAAGCAAGACTTTGACGAGACCTGGGGCCTGCTGAACCACGACTGGAGCGCCTGGCGCAACCCGACCTACGTCAAGGAGCAGCTGGAGCCGATGATCAAGGCGAGCCTGGCATAGGGCGCGTAGTAGGAGATGGCGTGGACTTGGCACAGCTGGCAGTTGGAGTCGCCACTGAAGCGCGCAAATGAGTGCCTTACAGAAGTACTAGACGGGAACTGTAGATGTAGTTAGCACGGTAGCGGACATGTACACAGTCAATTGACGAAAAACCCACATGTTGGATTGAACTACAGGTGATAATCGGGACGCCGGCGAGTGATGCATTGTTGCATATTGTCATGTGTATTGAAGCCATTCCAAATGTCAGGGGCTGTTGCGATGCAGCCATTGGCGCTTTGGTGGGCGAGGCTGTCGGTCGCACCTGCCAGAGACGTGCACCTGCAAGGACCCACTTTAATCGACGCGCGTTTGTACTTTTCGGCCAGCAAAGGAAAGCGCAACTCTGAACGTCAACATCTCTGTCGTCGTCAATTTTCAGGACCATCACAGCCATCGCGACGGCAACACTCCCCCTCGCATCGCCATACGACCCCTCGCCGCTCCCAACAGTGCGACGATGGTGGTGTGCAAGTTTTGGCTGCAAGGCAATTGCCGCTTTGGCAGTGCGTCTCCTCTGCCCCGTCCTTCTTGATTGATGCAGTCGTTGAATCATCGCGATCCTCGACCAACTCCAACTCTCGGGTTCCTTTTGCCGTTTGTCTCCTGCTAACTCGTCCCAGACAACTGCCGCTACGAGCACCCGCCGCAGAACCAGAACCGATTCGGCGCCTTTGGCCAGCCCAGCACCGGCGGCTCGTCGCCCTTTGGCCAGCCCAGCACCACCGCCACCTCCACCACCACGACGCCTGTCACCACCTCGACACCCTCCACAGCCAACGCCTTCAATGTCTCGTCGGCCAACATCGTCAAGGACCTGACCGAGGACCGCCCCTCGTGGGTCTTCTCCGCCTACGGGCCCGGCCGCAACGCCCCCGCCCAGCTCTTTGGCGGGCCGCAGACCGAGCAGTCGTTTGAGGAGCTGCGGCTGCACTACTACAAGGCACAGGCCGCCGGCAACCCGCAGGCAGCCATCAACGACATGGACACGCTGTACCGGCAGATCGAGCAGCAGATGCAGACGGCCGTCAAGAACCCGGACGCCGCCGCGCAGTACGTGCTGCAGGCCGCGCAGCAGCACCCGAACCGGCTGGACCAGTGCACCCAAAACACCCAGACGCCCTCGCCGGGTGTCTTTGACGAGGGTAAGCAGAGGGGCGCCCAGCCACAGCCGACTCCGTTCGGCGGCGGCGGCACGTTTGGCGCGCCATCCCAGCCCGCCGCGAACCCCTTTGGACAAGCCACGAGAACGGCCACAACGACGACACCCGCGAACCCATTTGGCGCACCACCATCGACGTCCGCCACGACAACGTCGCCCTTTGGCGCCAAGCCCACGTTTGGTCAGCCTGCAGGTGGCTCGGGCTTTGGACAGCCGTCGCAAATGGGCGGCAGTAACGCATTCGGCCAACCGTCGACTCTGGGCGGCACCGCCTCGGCCTTTAGCAAGCCAACGGCCCCTGCGTTTGGTCAGCCGGGCGGCGGCGCCTTTGGCCAGCCGTCGCAGCTGGGCAGCACAACGTCACCCTTTGCAAAACCGGCGGCGCCCGCCTTTGGTCAGCCTGGCGGTGGTGCTTTTGGTGCACCGTCGGCCGGCACGCCAGCCGCATCCGGCGGTGGCTTCTCCAAGTTTGCGTCCTCGACCCCGGCGGGCGGCGGCAGTGCCTTTGGACAGCCGTCGCAGATGGGCGGCACAGCCTCGGCGTTTGGTAAACCGTCGGCGCTCGGTGGTGGTGGGGGTCCGTCGCCGTTTGGAGCCGCCCCCTCGAGCGGAGCATCGCCGAGTCCCTTTGGCGCCGCTCCCTCGACAACGACGGCACAGCCTTCCAATCCATTTGGCGCCGCGTCGGGTGGTGCAGCGGCCTCGCCCAGTCCGTTTGGTCAACCGGCCGCAGCAGGCTCCACGGCTACGACTACGACTACGCCAGCCAACCCGTTCAGCCAACCTGCGGCGGCAGCGTCATCTGCGCCTGCCAATCCATTTGGCCAGCCGTCCACAGCCTCGACCACTCCAGCAGCCAACCCGTTCGCAGCGGCTACTAAAGCACCTGCGCCTGCAGCGGCCTCGCCGTTTGGCCAGCCGTCGAGTGGATCGGGCGGGTTCCAACAAGCCGGTCAAACACCATCACCATTCGGCCAGCCCCAACCTGCTGCTGCCGCCGCCGCCGCCGCTGCCGTCACCACCGCAAACCCCGCCACCAATGCCTACGGCCCGCATGCCTCCAAACAGCACCCGCCCATTGACGCCTACGCCCAGCGCGACCCGTCCAACCCGTCGCGGCTGGTCGCCTTCCAGGGCCGCCGCGTCGTCTACGAATCGCAAAAGGACTCGGCCGACAACGTCATCGAAGTCCCCATGGTGCAGCGGCCCTCGGACGGCAAGCCTGCCAAGGTCTGGTTCCCGCAGGGCGCGCCGCCCTTCAACGAGGACACGGAGTGCAAGCCAAGGAGCATGTACACGGATGCCGGCAGTCCCGTGCCGGCGCAGTACCAGATGTTCCTCAATACAGGGAGGTTTGCGGTGGGCATGATGCCGGAAGTGCCACCACTGCGTGAGTGGTGCGTGTGGAATTTCTAAGTGCGCGTGCAGGCCGTTGGGCGAGCACGGTCGACCGAACACGACGGCGAGAAGAGAAAAGGGCAATTTGTATATGTACACCAGCGATATTTGTATCAATCTGGATGGCGTTTTGGGGCGTTGGGATAGGAATATATACTTGGGGGCAGCATGACAGCCGCGTCTGTGGAACCATTTCAGACCGAGGACGCAATTGGTCGGATCAGCCGACAGCAGCTAGAAAATTTCAGTGTTTACACGGAGAGTGAAGCTCGCAATGGCAACGTTGGGAAATTGCTCCTGTCGCATATCGGTTCAGGCACCATTTCGTAAATGGCTTTCCGCCCCAACAACCCATGCCAGCGACAGTGACACCCTTACCTCCAAGATTCACAAAGGCACGTTGCCCTCGTTTTATATGCGGCTAGCTGGGGTGTTGTCGCCGACTTTACGTTGTATGCAGCTTGTAGAGGGGCGAGGAGACCGGTCAAATATGAGGTCATAGTGAGACATGAGAATTGGTAGAAGGCTCAAATTACAGTGGATGCCCGCTGTAGCTCTGCTTCGCTGGGTCCTCCTCAGCCCTGCCCGCTTGACTCACGGCCGGCAGCCGTGCCTGCCAAATAAGGGACGCGGGGCTAAACTCAATCGCAGCTTCCTATTAGCGCCAAACCTCCCATACATGGAAGGTGCCGACTTTCCACCAAAACCGACATCACCATTAGTTGCTTGAGCTTCACTTCCGCGCGAGCACGACTTCGTCTCTGTCGATACGCCCCCAACGTCCCTCTCCCATCCGTCCCCACCTCGCAAGACTACTCCGCACCCGCCAATGGACTCGGCGCTGCCCCCATTTGCGCCGTTTCCCGACTCGGCGGCCAGGCGGCAGCAAATCGGCCCCGACGACTGGGCGCTGTATCTGACCTCATGGCGCGCTCTTACGGTCGCCTACCTGGCGCTGTCCGACGCCAAGTTTGCCGCTGCTCTCACCAAGGACGAGCAGACCGGCGTGTCCTCGTTTCTCGTCTCCTTTGCACGCGCCCTCGCCGAGTCGGGGCCTGCCGCTCTCGCCCCGTTCTCGCCCCCGCCCTCACCTGCACAAGAAGAGACTGCCACCTCTCTGAAAAAGACTGTCTTCCTCCTCACCGCACGCGCTCTCCGCCTGCCGAAACCACCACCAGCGGCCCTCCTTGCGTGGGAGCACCTGGCCGATCTCAGCCGCGTCTACGGCCGCCGACGGACGGGGCACGTCTTGGCGACGCTGCCACCAGCGTCGGTCGGCGTCGCAGAAGCCTCCCTATCCGCCCTCAAGAAGGCTCTGATCAGAAACATGGAGGACGGCCCCTCTGGTAAAGGTGACACCCGCGCCGTCGAGACCCGCCTGTTGCGTGTCAACTACCTCGTGAGCGTCTGGCCCGCCGCCGGTGCGCTGCTTCTGACGGGCAGCGACTATCTGGATGCACTCTGCGCCTGTTTTGTCATTATGAACCCGCCATTGCGGCGCGCCATTGTCACGAACCTCTACGTCTGCCTGATTGGCTTGACGGAGCCGCCCACGCCGCGGTACTCGCTGCTGTCGGACCTGTTGTACGCCGTGCGGGGCGCCGCCGAGGAGCACAAAAAGGGCCCCTTGCGGCCGTCGGACTCTCTGGTCGCTGAGCTGGTCAGCGTGACGCCGCTGCTCCAGCAGATACGGCAGCGTGCAGAAGCGCCGTCGTCGTCGGGAGCCACGGGTGCGGGAACCTCCACGAACCGGATCCTCCCCATCTTGGAGGACTTGGTAAAGTTCCGCAAACCTGGCAGCGGACTGTCTCTGCCGCCTGGTCGGTTAAAACGCAAGATCGACAAGGGGAAGGCGGCGGCGCAGACATCGGCACCGACAGCAGCTGCGACAGACACCGCCGCCACCCAGCAACTCCACCCTCACAAACTCAGCCAGATCGCCGTTGTCCAGGACCTCTTCCCCGACTTGGGCTCCGCCTTTGTTGCCAAACTGCTCGACGCCTACGACGACGACACCGAGCAGGTTGTCGCCCACCTCTTGGAGGGCACGCTGCCGGCACACCTCGACAGCGCAGACCGCTCCGAAAACCTGCGCGACGCAGCCACTACCATCGACAACCAACACGCCGCAACAGCCATGGCGCCCCGTGCCACGCCGCCGCTGCCACCCGGCCGCCGCAACATCTTTGACGGTGACGAGCTCGATGAGCTGTCCCTGCAGACATCCAAGCTGCATTTCGGCAAGTCCGCCGCCAGCACCACGGCCGACGATCTCCTGGCCGACGGCTCGTCCGCCAAAGCCCCCAACAAGGCCGCCATCTGGTCCGCCCTGGCCGCGTTCGACTCGGACGACGACGAGCGCGACGACACGTACGATGCGGCCGACGTGGGGGGCACGGTC